CTAAATAAATGAGCTGGAGCCCGAGCTGCTGCTTGACATGGATAAAGGGGGTTTTTCCAAGTGAGGCTGCCCGGCTGCTTGGGGTTCTGTCATTTAAGTGGAGAAGAACAAGTTGGCTTGGCTCACATTGTTAAATATCTTGGGCTTTGCACCTGATCTTCTCTGGGTGACTGAAAAGTGGGTCACATGCCCTTGTGGCTTGCAGACATGCTCCCCTCCACCAGGCAGCCTAGAGGCAGGGCAGGAGGTGGTGAATGCGCACCGAACAGAGGTCGAGGGCCAGCCCAGCCCCCACACGCCCCTGGTCCCTTGTTTCTTCATCTATCTTTCCAGCCACCATTCTAAAATATCCTGATAGCCACCTACACGTCGCCACCAGCACTGCCCAGAGCTGGCAAAGCAGAGTTGTGAATGTGGGGCATGTGGGGTCCAGAACAAAGGCAGCTGAGAGGGTGTGGCACAAGCAGTCTGGGATGGGCATGAGGCTGGGCCCTGTCAGCTCCAGGCTCTACTACTTCCTGGGAAGTGACTGGGCCTCCATGCCCACTCTGTGGAAGGGACAGTCACAGACGAGAAGCCACTGGGGACAAACCCAGCTCTGGCCTGGGAGATGTGGCTGTAGCTGGACACCACCGCCCTATGTCAGCTCATGTCCTGGCTTCTGGGAGGGCACTCACTGGGCCCTGAGGAGGAACACCCCTGGGACGTCATCTCAGGCCCTCCCTATTCTGGACCTGGCCAGAAGAAGGCAAGGATGGGAGGAGCAGCCCTGATCCTGGCCCATGGCCAGAGCAAGGGGGCCACCTTCCTTTTTCCTTCCAGGCCAGGGAAAGGCTCCTTAGTCAGCAGCATTTTGAGTTTTCTTTTTTCCAGCAGCAAAGAAAATAAAGGCCAAGGAATTCAAATTCTCCAGTGAGCCCTGGGCTGGGGAGCAGTCCTTAGGCCCTGCTGTGAGGAGGAGTGGCCCATCTCTGCCTCTCAGGCTGGAGCTTGCCCCTCTTCACAGAGCCAGGTGGGGCACCCAGGGGCTTAGCAGGAACCATTCCCCACAGCTCCCCCAAACCCCCCTCAGCTTCCCCAGAGGAGAAAGGAGCACAAAACTGTCAACTATGTCATGCTGTGTTTAACAAAAAACAACATTGACTTTTCAGGGACCTGGGTCCCTTGATGCTGGGGTGCCTTCAGCACCCACACAATGCTTGAGCCCTGGCTCTGAAGTTCTCTTCGCCCTCCATCTGGACAGTTCCGTCCTCTGAGCTTCCACCTATTTCTGGCCAGCAGCTTGCTCCCTCACCTTGTGGATCAAGGCCCTTAAATCTCATCAGAGCTGCTGGCTCAGCAGCTCCACATCAGGGAATCAGCCGAAAGAGCTAATTCAGATGACCCATGAGGAGTTACATGAAGAAACAAGGACCCAGGTAGGCCCATGAGGTGGGGCCGGCCCTGGCTGCAGGTTGCAGGAGCTGAGAGAAATCTCTGCAAGTGGGTCCAGACATTTGCCTTTTTAAAAGCCCCAATGGTGGTTTGACACCCCTGCTGGAGCTGAGAGCCACTGGGGTCACCTGGTGAGATATAGGTAGTCCTTAAAAATGACCTTTCGGGCCTCCCCTGGTGGTGCAGAGGATTAAAGCACAGCACTAAGAAGCTAAAACCACTTCCGCATGAGTTCAATCCCCGCCCGCCCCAGAGCTGACCCACATGGCGTGGCAGACCTCTCCTGACCCGCCCGCTGCTCCCCTCAGCAGTGTGCTTCATCAGTCGGCCTGTCTGCTCCCCACTCTGTCTCTGGTGAATCCTCTCACTGCCCCTGCACCTCTGGCCTGTACCCTAGTTCTGTAAGTACAAATAAATAAATCTTTTTTTTTTTTTAAATAACCTTTAAGGAGAGTTTTCCTATGATGAGAAAACATGGTTACAGAACACTAAAACGCAAAAACAAATAACTCGATTACATTGCAGGGATACTGCAAATGTCTGAGAGGAGAAAAGCAAAAACAAAAGTAGATGAACAAGAACCAACCCAAAACATAGAACCTGACTGGATGGCCACTATCATACTACAAGCATTCCAGATGCCAGGCTTAGGATGCTTTCTCATTTCTAGTGCTGTCACTTTAAACATTTTTACAAAACCCAGACAGGTGTTATTTTTACAACCAGACTGATAACTGGAGGGCGAGTGGCCAGGAATGCCACCTGGTCCCCTTACCCCTGTCCTGCACACCACCACATGGGCTTCCTTTGCTGCCGCTGCCCAGGCACACGACACCTGGCCTACACCCTTCACACTGTCTCGGGCTCGCATGTGCTTTGCAGTCATTGTTTCACCCCAAAACAACCCTGTGAAGGAGGCGATATCCCACTGAGGCAGATGAGAATTAGCTAGAAATAAATCTATGGTGTAAAACCCATCCAGGGAACATACTGATGACGGTGCTGGAGAGTTCAGGTCCTCTGGCTTCTCCTAAGACCTGACAGAAGTCACCGGGCAGATGAACAGGGCTGAAAGTGCCACATATCTGGCCCATCCTTCTAGACACAGGCTCCTCCACGCCGTAACGCCTCTGCAGCCTGGGTGGGCTGGTGGCTGATGGCACATTGGGACCATGGTGGCACGACGCTCTGCTACTGCATGGAACATGGCGGCACGTCTTGCCCCTGAGTGCAGCTTAGAGTCAGTGAAATGTACCGTGTTTACAATCAAACCTGTCATTCTACGCTCAGAAAGCTGCTCTTAGCCACCGTATAATATCCTATGATATGGATGTACTTTAGCTTATTTCACCCGATGTCGGTTATGGACACTTTGGTCTTTTCCAATTTCTTTCCCTGATAACCACAGCCACTGTCTCTGTTATGGCATCACCGTCTCCCAGGGCCAAACCATGGAGGTGTTTTGACTTTGTCCCTCATCTTCTGTATTTTAGCTGTTACCCAGCCCTGTCATTTCTTCCTCATGGCAGCTTTTCTGGGTGTACCCAGTGGAGGGCTCTCTTCTGAGTCCCTCTAAAGGTCCCTGGCCTTCCAGCTTTCCTGAATTCATGGCTGGATTACTGCTTGAACATGTGAGTCACCTCACAGCTCTGCATCACACTCCCAGCATCCATTGCTCTGTCCAAGTTGGTTCCGACCTCCCCGACACACCTCCCTACTGAACCCACTACTCCAGCCAAAGTGGCCGTGAGGGGTCCTGCCTCGAAGCCTTGGCTCACTCAGTTAAGCCCACACTCACTACGGGAAGGGATGCTTCTGTCTTTTCCCACTCACCAAACCCAGGTCAGGTTTCACCTTTCCCAATGGAATGATTTAAGGCTCATTTGGTTCTTACAACCACCTGGAGAAGTAGGATAATAGCTATTCTTATCCTAATTCTACAGGTGAAGAGACAGAGGTTTAAAAAGCTTACATGGCATGTTCAAGGTCATACAGTATAGTAGACATAAAGAAAGAGGATTTAAATTCTGGGGCTTCCATGCTTAAACCCAGCGCCTTGCAGAGCCAAGTGCAAGTAGAGCCAACAAATCCTCTGGGCAGGAACCCAGATTACATAGCCAGCAAGATCACATACCCACATCACATATCCACGATTCAACAGCTCTAGACTCTAGACAAGTTGAGATCACGGTAAGGTGACATCTTCCAGTCTGTCAGTTCCCAGAAACCCAAGGAAAGGACACAGCCAGTCGGCCCAGTCCCATTGTAGAGATGGGAAGACCACAGAATTTTTCTTGAATTTTGCCAACTCTTGAAGAGCATTGGACCAAGTTGGGCTTGGTTCAAGGTCATGGCAAAGAATCAGTGCTGCCTCCGTTGGAGGCAGGATATGGGATCTTGTTTTAGGCAAAGTGCTTTAGAGGACGTCATGAAGTATTTCTTAGGAAGCCAAAGAACACAAACCTCTTCTGTGAGGTGACCATGACATTTCCTGAGTAGAGGCAGGAAGGGCAAAGTGCTGGATGGCAGGCTAGGAACAAGGAGGAGGCTGGCATAAGTGCTGCCCCAACCCCCATTTCTCCAGGTTTGCTTAACTCTGTGTTTCACTCAGACACATGGAGAAGCCATTGCAGTAAAAACCACACCGATGTCTAACTGTGGTTCTGAGGAAGCGTGACCAAGACCCACCATCAGAGTTTGCACATGGAGTACATTGGCTGACATCATTGCATCTTTGTCATGAGATCTAATAAAGCTCTATGGGCCAAAACGAAAGCCAAAGCGAGTCCTGTACTCTGACTGGGCTGCTCTCACCACCTGCTCAGGATGAAGGGTTCCTGCCAACCTTCTCCTAAGCAGAAGCAGGTTCTTGTTCAAACCCTTTGTTGTACTTGGTCAAGGCAGGCTGAGTACCAGAGGGCAGTTTTTCAAGGAAGTAGGGAAAGTTGGTATTTTCTTCGTTTGGGGGAAGGCCTCATGTCTTCATATTCTCATAATAATTAATCACCTCGTAGGTGCAGATGGGGGGCAGCAGCAAAGGAGGTTCAGGAGGGCTGGAGGGCCACAGAGGCGAGAACATTACTTCCCAGGCCTCAGTGTACTTTGCAATCATTTACACCAAGACCATGTTGACGCCTCTGAGGAGCGAATTCCAGGGCGTTTTACCTTCTCAAGCTAGGGTGGGGAAGAGCTCCCTTTACAGGAAGAGGGCAAAGAGGCAGAGCAGGTGAGCGTGGCTTGGATGCCCTGGCTTCTCACTGAGAGCCAGTCACATCTCTTCTCTGAGCCTGTGGAGATGCCCATCACGCTCATTGCTGCCTCACAGGTGTGGGGAAGGGCAGGTGCTACCCTGACACCCGGTTGCTGTGGGTGCTGCTGTCTGGGGAGGAGAAGGGCCTGAAGGCTCCCCAAAGCACCTCACCCAGGACAGCCCCAGCTCACAGACGCACACCCTCCTCAGGTGACTGCCACGCCCTGGTGAGTCATGGGAGATGTCTCCCGTGACCTGTGATTTACTTTTTGGGCCTGGAACCAGCAAAGTGCTGCCAGGCCAGGAGGTGACTCACCGGCTCAATCTTCAGAGCATTTCGGTAGCTGCCGAAGAAAGCTGCCTGGGCCTTGAGGAACGCTCGGGCCACCCCATCTCCGGTCGTGGTGGAGACCTTCTTCAGCCGGTTCTTCAGGGATGAGATCTGGGGACAGAGAGGAGACACTGGCTGAGGCAGGGCGGAGGAGGCTGGCTGGCTAAGACCAGGGCACACGCAGCGGCAGAGCACCCCTGGAGGGGCGTCAATTTGGCACCTCAGCTGCTGGGAGGATGAAGTTCATTCACATTAGCGCAGGTTTCTGAAGTTTTGGCGAATATTGCTCTTATCAGGGCAGACTCAGTAAAACAGAAATGAACTATTTTCTAAGCTATTTCAAGTGCCAGGTAACTGCTTTCTCACACACACACACACACACACACACACAAATAATAATAATAATAATCTAATTTAATTATTTAAATGATCCAGCAAGGAAGGAACTAGCGTGCCCACTTTACACAGGTGACCAGTCTCAGAGAGGTCTGCTTACATGCCTCAGGACAGAGGTGAAAAGTGGCCAGTCTAGAATATGAGGTTTTGCAGTTTAAACCCAAACTGCACAAAGATGTTGAAGTCCCATTTTATTCCCTCTTCAAATTTCTTACAAATTTTAGAAATGGCTTATTTGACAATAGATTATGTTGATAAATAGAATTATGTCAAGTATAAATACATTGTATAAGCATTATTCAGAACTCCTCACTCAAATTTCTAAGGAATAGTAGCAGCTTACAGACACATATTCATAGGGTCAAACAAAACAGACAACCATGGCAATGGGAAAAGGATAGGAATAAGTAAGTCTTAAAGTCTCAGAGTAGCTAAAAACGAAATGCAAGTTTGGCTTAAGAGTCTCTGAATGATCAAAGCAAAACAGGAAACACGAGAGTTGCAAGATTCTTGTGTTTATGTGTAACAAAAAAAGTTGCACAAATGGAAAGATATTCCCGAAAGCCACATAGGAAAAGTCTAAAATTTTCTCATGAGTCTTCAACTGACACCAGGGCCGCTGCTGCAGCAGTACGCTGCCTGGCCTATTTCTAATAGGGCACCCTTCGTCTCAGGGGGCTGCGTTCCATGACCTCTGGGCACATACACTGTATCCCCCGAGAAAGGTGCCCCTGGAAAGGGGCAATGCATGCTCCTGAGTCACTCACTCGCTCCTTACTTACTCACTTACTCTTTACTCACTCCTGTGTGTCTGGGATGGTGGTAGATGTTGAGGGTACTGTGCTGAACAAAATCAAACTAAGTCCTGCCTTCATTAAGCTTACATTCTATTAAGGAAAATACCAATTCACATACCAATTCACTACTTCAGTGAAATAGCCTAAAACAAGAGTTCACCAACGAGGTCAAGGAAGGCTTCCTGGAGAGGAACAGATGCAGACTGAACTCTGAAGGATGAACTCAAGTAGTTAACTTGGCAATGCAGGGAAGGGCTTGTGTACCATGGGGAACAGCCTTTGCAAAGACCCAGTGGTGAGGTGGTGTTTAGAGAATAGAAGAAAGAACTGCAACTTCTGTGGGAAGAAGGTGAAAATGGGCTTCAAAAGAGGCTAGAGAGAGGGGCAGGGGTAGGAACAACTATGTGTTCATCTTGAGACACGCAAAAGGTTAATGGCTATTTTTAAACATGCAGGTGACATAACACTTTACAGGAAGGGACTGGATATAGGACTGTCTAATTGGCCCGAAATTATTTAAGGATAAAATTTAAGGATAAGATAGAAAATTTGATTCAGATGGTCCATGAGTCATCTATAAATTTTTTATTTGAGTGATGATCATTTTTCTGGGCAAAGGCTTCAGAGTTTCCCTCAGATTACTAAAAGTGCCTACGAACTCAAAAAATAGTAATCATTGCTCTGGAACAGCCTACATTTTAGAAATGCCCCTGGATATTATCTCTTATACAAGTTTTTGATAAGGCATTTTTTTTTAAAGCCCTAAGACATATTTTAAATATCAGAACATTCATTTCAAATGTACACAGTTCAGGGGATTTTGATATAGTGACAGGGTTGTACAACTATCACTATTGTCTAATTCTAGAACATTTCGTAACCTCACTTTCCAAAACTCGATCTTACTGGCAGTCACTTGTCATCTCCCTCTAATAATCCTCCCTTCCTACCTTACCCCAGGAAACCATTCGTCTACTTTCCCCCTCAGATTCTGCTTATTTTGGACCTACAAATGGAACCATGCAATGTGTGGTCTTTTGTGAATGACTTCTTCTACTTAGCAGTGTTGATTATGAGCATGGCTCATCCATGCCTTAATACTGATCAAAACCTTGTTTCTTTCCACGACTAAATAATATTCCACCACGGATACACTCCTTTTTATTTAACTATTCACCAGTTGATGGACATCTGGTTTGTTATTACCATTTGGCTATCATGAAGATGCCACCATGAATGTTTATGTACAAGCTTACATGGAGAGAGCAGAGATTCTGGGTAACAGACTATATGACTGAAGTCCTTTGCTGACAGATCCTATACAACAAAGATAAGTGAATGGACACAAAAATTCACAGAGTACAGTGCTTGGCACAAAAGGAAGTCATCAGTAAGCATTTACAAGTAAAGTTGTGTGCTAAATAATAAAATCCAATGATGGACCACCTGTATAATCTGGTACCCACATTTCTACAGCATAGTGACGTAGCACACACTGCTTGTTACCAAAGACACAGTAAGAAGTGACAGATGATGCAGCATCTCTTCTAGGATGTTCCCTTGGATTTCAGGTTGGTGAAATGGAGAAATGCTGCTGGAACATACATTCTATGATGTTCACACAACTAAGAAATCCTTTAAGGTCGCAGTTTCCTGAGTGAACCTCTGTAGTTAAGCTATGCACTATTGTATAGGGAGAAAAGTTCTGTGGTGCTGCTAAAGCAGTAGGCTGCATGCTCAGCTAACAGAATGAAGGCCACATCCTCCTCTGAGAAGTCAGACATGAGAACTGGCAGCTAGGGGGTGGCTGTTCCAGCCCTGTGGAAGGTGGATCAAGAAAGACAATTTTCCTTGTGCAGCAGTTTGAAGTCCATCTCACCCCCGGGTGTAAGTGACCAGCTTAGGTCAACTCCCCTATCCTGGGCACATGAGCCCCAGTGCTACCATGGGAAGAGCCTGGGACAGGCAATGAAGGCCGCTCAGCACCTGGCAGGCTTTGCCAGGGACTCCCAACTTGAAAGAGCAAGCTGAGAAAGAAACATGTGTCACTAAGATTTTAGAAATATTGCCCACGGGGCCTCCCTGGTGGCGCAGCGGGCTAAAGCTCCACACTGCAAGCAAGCTGCAGTCGCTTCAGTGTGAGTTCAATCCCCGGCCCTGGAGGTGACCCACATGGTGCTGCAGACCTCTCCTGGCCCGCCCGCTGCTCCCTTCTGCAGCGTACTATTGACCTGCTGTTCTGCTTCCCACTCTGTCGTGAATCTTCTCATCACCCCTGCACCTCTGGCCTGTACCCCAGTTCTGTATGCATAAATAATCTAAAAAAAAAAAATTGCCCCTTCCCTCTCCCCAGCCACTACATGATAAAGCTCCTGCCTCTCCCAAGGCCAGAGGCATTGCCAGCCTTTGAAAGGGTGTTGCTTCTTCTGCTTCCTCAAAGGCCTTGGGCCACCTGTACAGAAGATTATTCCTCACTTAACCTTCCCTGGCCTTTCCCTTTCATTCCAGAGGTGTTTAATTACCTTGGATTCACAAGCTGCACTTCAGGTGAGCCTCTCCTAATGGCCTCATTACCATTTTACACAAAGAAGTAGTTGCTGATTGTAACTGAGCAAATACAAGTGAGTGTGAGCCTGCCCGCCCCAGCTGGTCTGACATCAGCCAAGCGGTCCTGGGCTCTTGGTGCCCCTGTGCCCACTTAGGCCCAGGCTTCTGAAGCCCTCTCCTTGCCCTGTAACAGGAGAAGCTTTCATCAGCACTTCAAACTTTGAAACTTCAAGTATAAGCGCAACTGATAACCAGTGGTAGCATTTTGTCTTTTAAATAAAGGTGAGGGGAGAAAATCTAAAGTCTCAATAGCCCACAGTCACACATCTGAAGATGAACTTGCCCTGCGTGCTCCTGGGGGTCCTGTCAGGTCATCAACACAGAGGATCATCAGGCATAATGGCGGGGGTGGGGGGGAGTGGGGGGGTAAGAAATGCCGATGATGAGGCTTCCTCAAATCAGGCATCACGGGGGAGGATTGAGACCGGGAGCGGGAGGACAGGAGTGAATCCATCAGCTTCTCCCTAAAGTCCCCTCCTCCCCACTACCTCCTCCCTGTATCTTGTTCTGACAGCATCATCCCACCAGTCTCCCTGGACGCTAGATTCTGCATGGTTCAGCTCTGCTCACCCTCGCTGGTCCAAGTCGGGGGAATGGTCTCCCACGCTGGCTGTCTTTGCGCTCCCCTCAATGCTGTCCCCCAGAGCTGTCCCCGTGGTCCCGGAAAGGACACCTCTCATCACTTGGCTCCCTCCATCCAAGTCCTCCCTGCCCCACCCTGGCCATCAGCACCTTCAGAGAAACATCCCCACCCCTCAGGGGGCGGTGAGGCTTCCTTGGCCCAAGTAGCTGCTCGAGTGGCTGTGCTCATGCACCCCGTCCCGGTCCACACTCGTGCAGACAGAACTGTCCCGCCCCCTTACCCCTCTTGTTTGCAAAACTCTACCCACCTTTTGAAAGGTCATCCCCATGTCTGCCAGCGGGCTACTGAGTAAGTCATCCTCACAATGCAATTCTGTACAGACGCTAAAGAGAACGTGGCAGTACCTTGTGAACTGACATGAAAAGATGCCCACAAAATACTCTGAATAGGAGGAAAATGAAGCTGCAGAGCAAGAGTGGGGCATGAGTCATTTGACAATTCTCTAGATAGAGGGACACATGGGAATTTGATATATAATCTAACATCCATTCACACAGGGTGCTTTCACTTCCTATCTCATACACTTCTGACTGTTCTGATGTACCTTTATGAAAAAGTATATGTCATTTCTATAATAAAAATGTATTTATATAGTTTACTTAAAAATATTATTTATTTATTTATGCATATGAGCACTGGGGTACAGGCCAGAGATGGGGGGGGGGTGT